AATTGTAATTAAAATTTTTAATTATTTTTATCTTAATTACTAATTTTTGAATTTTAAATCTAACAATTAAAACACAAATTATTTAAAATTAGTTTGAGCCGATTTTTAATCAAAAACTTAAAACCTAATCAAATCTTAGCCGTCAATTGTAATTTCAATCATTTTTTTTTTTTTCAGATTTTTTCGTCCACCCCTAATCAACATCCATCTCCCTATTGTTCTCTCTCTTTCGAGGTTGACAGCGGTAGATGCAGGTGGGGTTCTTGGAGCTTTTTGGTTGGTTTAAAGTCAACTATGGTCCTTCAACTTTCCTTTTTCGTTCATTATTCTCCCTGTACTATAAAATCGTTCAAAGACCTCCCTCTACTTTCCCAAAACATACTACTGTCCTTCCACTCTTATTTTTCATTCATTGTCCTCCCTATAAAAATCTTGCATAGCTTATGTACTTGATTAATTAAAACAATAACCCGCAGTGTATTTTCCTATGATTAATCAACTAAAACTACGGGTACATGAATTATTATCACATCCTAAAGTGTTTTTTTTTTTTGGTCCATTACATATTAAACTATTAGGCATTATTTGTTAGTAATATATTGTATTGTATCATAATTATAAGTTTTGTCTTTTATTATTTTAAAAATATATGAAATATTAATTAAAATTAATCAACATTATTATAGTTATAATGTCACATAGATTATAAATTTATAATTATTATATAATATTAAATGAATGTAACATATCATTGAATGAGTAAATGCACACTACAGGAAAAATGATTTTTAGTGACAGAAATTTGTGATGAACTTTGAAATCATTACTATAAGTTATCACAATTGTGACAGATCTAAAAAATTAGTCATAGATGTATACATATTTAATGATGAACAAAAAAATTTATCATAAAAAATATATTTTGTCACCGAAAAATATTTATAGAGATAAAATAAGTTTTTGTCGATAAAAATCATTAATATAATGCATTACAATTATAACAAAATTCTAATATTGGTCACATATACCTTATACATTCAATGATAACCAAATAATTTATCATTAAAAAATATTTTTTGTTATTAAAAATTGTCAATTTTTTCTAATCAATGCATCTCATATTGATAAAAAACACATAAGAAAATAAGGTTTTACACTATAAATATATCCCACATCGATAAAAAATATTTTAAAAAATAAATTTTTACACTATAAAACATGTGAAACTCAATAAAACTTAAAATTAGTTTGGGCTGATTAATTTTAATTAGATTTGATTAATTTTAATCAAAATTGATTAATATTGAAATAATAATATTTTTTATTAAA